AAAACATTAACTAATTAAGAAAGTCAATATAATACAACTTTTTTCTCATTTCAAATACAATCTATTTTAAACAATCTATAAATCTGGTATTTAAATGTTTGGTTGCCATTCAAATAGTTTACACTATCTTACTGATAAAAACTTACCACTTTCCAAAGTTACATCAAAGGGTTTCTCATACATGTCCAAATACTCTTCAGGCATTATCATTGTAGAGTCATTCTCCTCCAGTAAAAAGTGAATGTGTGCTAAAAGTGAAGATGCAAACAATTAAATATTGAAACCTCTCATTACTTAACTGTATCAGTTTAACTGCTCAGGATAAGGCTCACATAAGCATTCAACTATGACTGCCTGATGTGAAAAACAACAAAAATCCTATTGGATTTGATCAAACTGTAGTCTTATAGGCTCAGCAATGACCAAGAAATTTATATTATGTGGGCTGTCCAAGAGAAGGTAGCATGATTTTGTAGTATAATGTGGACTACCATAAGCGGAAACAAGACTTTGTTGGGGAATTTATAGATAGATTCTAGCAATCCGAAGACCAGGGGTATCTATTGACACTCGGACCTTAAGACAATTAAATGCTTTTACATTTTTCACTCAATATACTGGGTGCCTGTGACTGGTATTAATCTGTTTATATATTAATAAAATATATTTAAAATACAGTGTATATATTATTTAGTACAATTTAGATGGATTAAATTCAGTATATAAAAATCTTATGGTGATAACATGATAAAAATAAACTCAAAATTGAATTGATCTTTTCATAATAGGCTATTATTTTTACTCTAGTATAAATGTCAAAAGATGGAAAAAAACTAATATTATTACACAACTATTGTGATGGACTGTTCAGAAACATTTCAACAAAACATATAGCCCCTACCTTGTTGAGGAAGAAGATCTGGGAACTTTTCATGCAAAGAATCTAGTGTTGACTTAAAAGCAATCTGAAAATTGATAAATAAATAAAATATGGTAAGTAACATAACATTTGTTTTACATATTTTTCATGTATTCCGTTTAGGGGCAAAAGGTTGGAAAGACTTTAATAATATTTATTCCGTTTAGGGGCAAAAGGTTGGAAAGACTAGAATAATATTTATATCTGCTTCCAGTATGGCAAAGCTTAAAAATAGAAAACTTCTATCTAACCCATGCCATGATAAATTTGTAGTTCGTCTAGCTTTGAATTTGTAACTGTTCATTGTTAATGTAAGGGGTTTTGGTATCAGAAGCTTAGATTAACCAGCCAAGACCAAACCTATCAATATTATTTAGTCATATACAGCACCAGCCATCAACATTCAGTACATTCAAACAGTTAACCTCTAACCACCCAAAACATCTTATATGAACTTGTCCATCTTTCAATCTGGACAAAACATTTCATAATTTTTATGATAAATTTCAAAATATATACTGACTGTATAACTATAGTGAACAGTGCAGACCATGATCAGATGGGCCAGATGTGCCGGCTGATCTTCAACAGGTCTGCACTGGTCACATGGGTAGAGTCTATTTCCTTCAGCAGGCTAAGAGTAAAAGTCTATGATTGTATAAAATATACACCATATACGCAAACCTTTCAATATAACCCCTTGCATATTACTGGAAGCAAATATACAATAGATTTAAATGACAAGATAAAAGAATAAAATAACAATAGAGGAGAAAAGTGGCAGACTATCAGCTAAATATGTACAAAATATACAAAATCCCAAGAGTATGAAAAGTGAAATAAGGATCAAAAAAAATAAAACTGATTCAAATATATGAAAACTGATTTAAATTTATGTAATGGAAATTTAGATTTAACAAAATCATTTTGTGAAAAAGAAATAATGGTAGTAGTAGAAGAAGTCAATGGAATTGATATCCTAATCATTCATTCTGTTTTTCTACTCAAACATAATATGTGCTAAATATTCCAAAATGTGAACACTAATTCAAACAAAGTCTCAAAATAACTCAAACAGGCAGTGAGCATTATCCAGTGCTCTTCATTCTTTAAGTCATTATTGAAATTAAGTATTGACTCACCCTTACACAAATTTTATTATATAATTATGATAATATGAAACTAATCTTTTGTACAAGCAGGCAGACACGATTGCCTGATAAATATGTTAAAAATAAAATACTAGTAACTGATCAAATCATTGTAAATCAGCATATTCAACTGATTTTGTTCAATACTTTGGGGATCAATTTTGCTGTTTTAACAATGGCAATGTTTTGATTTTAAGTGGACTATTCAAGTCATATGCCCACTTTCTAGTCCCATTCAGTGCACTGGTAAATGAAGATAGTAAATTGCTCATCTCTAAATTATCTACAGAGTCTATCATAATTATGTGTATATTTTAACATCACAATTTTATATGCTACCTGAAAAGCTCCTTCACTAGAAACAATTCAACATCTAAAGCAAGGTTCAACCCCTTAACTTTGAGAGAAAAGGTTCAAACTGTACAACATTAAGCTTTTAGTTATATAACAAGTTCTTGTGATTAAAAGAAGGTTCTGAAAAAAAATCAAAACAGAGAGAACATAATGCCATGTCACATCAGATAATGTGAAAGAAATTTTGCACAGTGCAAGAATATTTGTTGTTTTTGACTTATGCAGATACAGGTGTTTCTTGTTGTTTTTTTAAGTCATACCATCACTGTAAAGGTCATTTGATGACGTCCAGATTTACTGACAGGGAAAGATCTCAGGTGCCTCTCTGTGCATTATATCAGGCACAAATTGGCACCCGAATAGAACTACCAACCTTCTGTATGCTAGTTTCCTCATATAAATTGATTCAAAACCCACAGTGATTAGGGACAAGTGATTTAAAATTGGTGACCCTAACCACTAAACCATTGAGGCCCGATGCAGACAGGTTGTTAAAATGTTATTTAGACTATTGGTAGAACCAGTAAAGCTTAAACTGAAAATAGGTTTAGGTGAAAGCAAAATGCAAAATACTTATTTGAGGGACTCCATAAGATGTAACAATTGTGGACTGTGTATAAAATATGGCAACTTGGGACTGTGAAACAGCCCAAAAACCAGTTTTGCAACTTTCTGATAAGGGGAATTCAGAGGAAAAATACAAGGAAACAATATATATAACTAAGCAATTTCTTCACAGTGAATTTCAATACCATGTGCTTTTACATCTACAGTGCTAACCTAAACATACTTAAGTGCAAGTGAAAAAAAAAAACACATTCTTTATTCCTATATCAAACTCCATATCAATATCAAAATCTTAATGAGATTAACACCATGCTTTACAATACAGCACATCAAAGACTTTCAGCACTTCATATACCCATAAAAAATGCATGTTTTATTTACCCAATCCTCCTCATTAATAAAGCTAGTACCATCAGGCATAATCTAAAGAATAATCTCAAAATATTTAGATCAAATTCACAACTAGCATTTCATAAAACAGGTATCACAACACCAAAATCACAGACACAGAGTTTTACTTATGGAAATTTTTGTAATTATGTATTCTTTATAGAATATAAAGATGACAAGGAATTCCAACATTCATTTACAAAATCTGATTTAAATACCAATACAAGGATCGACTGTCCATAAGACAGTAGGCTCGAGTATTCTCAGTGCTTGACAGTAAGAAAAGGGGAACAACTATGTTATAATGTAACTAAGAATTGTGGGACCTTAGATGCACATCATGTTAAATAATCACTGACAACAAGTGTGTGAAGTTTCAACCAATTCCCTTAGTTTTGGTGATACCAACTTACACGCAAAATCTTAACCAATGTGCAACGGCAATGATGCTGACATGGAGTGAATACAATTAGCTCAAACTATTCTTCGTATAGACAAACTTAAGAAACAAAGAACATCTATCGTTCAAAATCTCTTACTGTACAGAACATGTACAGGATATTAATGTGAAAGGATGCTCAACTCTTTAATTAATCTGATAAGATCTTTATTGCTCAAATTTTCCTTGTAATAATTTAAGATGACTTGTGAAAAACCTTTAAGTGATATTTCATATAATTTGTTAAACATGTCAGAATAACAGATAGTCAGACAGACAGACAGACAAACAGATATATAAATAGATGAACATACGAGGGCTGTTCAAAAAGTTCGTGGACTGCGGCTCTGCTGTTCACATCTTTTAATTTGCGTATATGATTTTACAAGAGACATATACGAAAATATGTCCTTATTTAACAGTGAAAAAATCAATAAAATATGTTTACAAATAACAATTCTGTGACAGTAACAAATCACAAGGGGTGCACAATCCGGCGCACGCTGATGACGAAACAAAATGACGTTCGTGACGTCGCAATATAAATGAAACATTTTACCAGCGTCATTGTTTATGAAAGTACTCTGTTTATTGTTCAATATCTGCGGATCATATACCAAAACCGTTTTACTGTTTGTGATGATGACCCGAGATATAAGGTGGTCATCTTTTCGCTCCATTCTCCGTATAAAGGTCCGAGCGCCGCATACTTTCCGCTCTTTATCGGGATTTTTGAATAATTTTGACACTTAACGGACAGTGTTATAAAGTTAATTCAATTGTTGATTTATAGCATCAATTTGAAACCGCCCTCGTCCGATCTTTAAACAATATGATTATCAATGATAAAGAAAAACATTTTATCAACTGACAATTATTCTATGCGGTAAATCTACTGAACACCGGTTAGCATTAAGTATCAAACGGACCAGGGTAAATACACGTAATACAAATAATAACTACAATTATTTATTGTAAAAAGGCAAATATCCTGGTGAATGAAATAAAGTATTATTTAAATTAAATTAACTTAAATTGTTTTGTCAGAATTGAATGCATAGACCCGATGCAGAAATTAAACATGCATGTCGGACATCTCGCAAACCTTTCATACTGTCTGGACTTCTGTAGATTCTTTTGCAATTGACGTTACAAACGTCCCATCAATTTGCCGCAAAATTCTCCGTCGCCCTTTCTGTCTGTGAGCATGTATTTTCCGTATTTGAATCGCTTGCGCGACCTGAAACCAAGAGACTTGCTCGCCAACTCATTGTTATTAATTAATATAATCACCTCATAAAAAATATGAAGGAGTATCCCACATGTATTGGTAAAAATTTCCGAAAGAGCGAATTTCTAGTTTTTAAACGGGCTTTATACTTCCCAACTTACCCGTCTGTCTACTGCTGCTCAAGACCTGTTTGTTCAGCTATTCAACGTCCAATCGACGTCAAATTTCAGATTTATGTTATTTAAATATTATTAGATGATTACTTGTATTTTACTTCATAAAACAATCATTCAGTTTGTTTCAACATTTGTTTATATTTAAACATTATATGAAAATTTCGGCGTGCGCCGATGTTGCGATGCCATGGTTATTAAAGTGCACATAACTCGTAAAGGAATTAAAAGTTTACACTAAAAGTAAATCTTACTTTTAGAAATAAAGACACTTTTTCGATTCATATCCACTAAGGGTGTTTTTATGAACCAAGTAAAAAATGACAGCAAAAATCCACGAACTTTTTGAACATACCTCGTACAACATCAAAACAATATATTGCATGCAATAATACAGGAAATACTGGTTAAAATACTGACAGACAGATTGAGACTGACTGATATAACACTATCTATGTAATAATTATTTACAACTGTAAAGAAACATTAGATAAAACATAAACCATTTCTAAGAATGATAAAAAAAAGTCTTTAAAAAGATAAAGTTAAAAAAATATGAAAATTGTTTTCTTATATCTAATTTTAAATGGTTTAATTAGATATGTAAGTAAATATACATTACTTTTCAAAATAAGCCTAAGAAAAGTTGGAAACAATTTTGATTTTCATGTGTGAACTTACTGAATTTGTTAAATATGCTTGTCCAGCTTTCATTTTTGGAACCATCCGTGTTGATTTTTTACAAATATTAAAATGATAATTTGAAGTTGTTCAGCCAACAGTATAAAGCCTGGTCAGACTGCACGGAAGTGCAGGCTAACCTGGCCCCATACTGGTGGCAAAGGCCAATCACTTTCGGTTTGAGCAGTTTAAGAAAAAGATCAAATACCTTTGGAATGATCGCCAACTTGCTACCAAGTTTAAGTAGTTGTGAGAGAAGATCTATGATAATTTTATCGGCACCTTCTGATGACTCATAAGATTCCATTCTAGCTGCCTGTATATCCAATGTTCTGAAGTTCCACTGCTGGTAAAGACGTGTGGATACGTTCACTGTAGTTAAGGAGTTATAACTACATGTGTTCCAAAGTAGATAAAGTAGTGTACTTGTGGTTGGAAATGATTCAATTATAGATCTCTCTATTGAATTAAAGAGAGATCAATCTAGTTGATGGCTGTCAATAAAACTTAGTGAAAACTGAATATGGAGAAAGTAAACTAACATGCTGAATTGCCTGAATTCAAATATGGACCAACCATCTGTTTATTTCAGAGATGTGGAGCTAATGCTGGGAAGCAAACAATGATATGGCAATTTTTCAGCTAAATTACTCATGGAGGGAGATCTCAGATGCCCCTTCATCAAAAGCAGCATTTTAGCTGAACCACCAACCTTACAAAAGCTATATGTAGCTAACAACTTTCTAATGTGAAATAATTTGGTGTTAATTCATTCAAAAATGGAATCTGAATGCACAGATATGAGCTTCCTATTCTATACACTTGGCTACAAAGTAATCCTTTTGAATTAACAATGAATTGTTCCAAGTTCAAAGCAGTACAAGTCTTTAAAAAAAATTGTTTTTATAATTTCAAAATCTATGGTGTAAATGTTAAGGGATTATAGGTCACATTATGAAGCATATCAAATTTTTAAAACTCTCACATTAAAGCTGCATGCCGCAAGATTCATGCTAATTTTCATGAATTTCGAAGTAAAGTATTGAATAGTAAAAAAGGTATTTCATATATTGCAAACCGTACTAACAATCAATGTAAATTACCAAAAAGTGGTCAAAATATGCAAAAAATAACTGTTACTGTGTTAGTCATGCTGTAAAACTATTGTGATAAATACGGCAAAATCAGTCATTAATCACACATATTATGTAAACTAATACTTGAATCTTGTACTTTTCTTAAAATCTTTTTTTCTCAAGTTTGATTTTCTTGAAAATTTTTTAGAACATCTGGAGGCGTGCAACTTTAATGATTTGTACATGTATAACAAAATAAAACATGTATTTATAAAGGATATATCATGTGAGACAATAAGTATTTTTGCCTGTTCTAGAAAACCATCTTCCTCTTTTTGTGTCTTTATTATATCTCTCACCACTTCAAGAATCATATCTGAGGATGTCTGGAAAATAATTATAATAGAATCATAAAAATTGACATTAAAGGAACTCGACTTAATTTCTTTTCCTTACTAGGACTGGGAATATAATGTGTTTCTTACACAAATCAAGCTAAGAATCCCATAAAAAATCAAATACATATGTAATTCTGAGAGTTACAAAAATAGTTATTATTTTGCACATTTTTCTGTTTTTAGTGCCAAAGTTGATCTATGTATCTATATATAATTCAGTTATCTTTTTATTCTTCTCTGTTTATCATATACCTTTCAATAAAAATAATTAAAGTAATTGTGGATATTTGTGAGTGACTATCTTAATCCTGGCTTTATTTCAATCATCTTTCAATTATCATCACACTTTAACAACAAGAGGGCCCAGAGGGCCCTGGAGCGCTCACCTGAGAAAAAGGTCAAAAGGTCAAAGTTGACTCCCTTTTTCACCCAAAAAGTACAATTTGAAAACAAGGGTCAGCTTAATCTGAACAACTTTTGTACACTGTCATCAAGGAAATTTTGTGTAAAACTATTTCAAAATTGAACCAGTGGTTTACATGTTGTTGTTGTTTAATTTTAGCTCTGGCAGTCATTTTATTAAACAGACCAGCCTGTCACTAAGTGAGGGGTGAGCTAATAATAAGATGACAGAAAAAGAGAATGAAAACAAACATTTGACCTGGCTGGGGATTGAACTGTCAACCTTGATCCCCTGGGGCAGGGCAAATTTTGACCCAAGGGTTTTATTTGAACAAACATGGTAGACATCCACTAGAAGATATTTTATGCAAAATATCTCAGCTCTAGCTCTTTTGGATTTTCACAAGAAGAGTTTTTAAGTTTTAACTATATACATGTACATGTATATATAAGGAAAATCAATGACCCCCCTGGGGCGGGGCCAATTTTGACCCTAGGGCTTTTATTTGACCAAACTTTGTAGACATCCACTAGAAGATGTTTCATGCCAAATATCTAAGCTCTATCTCGTTTGGATTTTCACAAGAATAATTTTTAAAATTTTTACTATTTACATATAAGGAAAATCAATGAGCCCTGAGGCCGGCCAATTCCGACCCTAGGGAATTTATTTTAACAAACTTGGTAGGCATCCACTAGAAGATGTTTCATGCCAAATATCTAAACTCTAGCCCTTTGGGTTCTTCACAAGAAGATCTTTTAAGATTTTTTGTAAAACTATCTTTAGGCTGCCATGGGAACCAGAGTTCTTTATGGAATTAATTCTTTGAACAACTTTGGTACAGCTTCATGCAAGGAACATTCCTGCAAAGTTTCAACAAATATGGCCTAATGGTTTAGGAGGAGAAGTTGTTGAAAGAAATTGTTGACACACACACAGACAAATGATGGACAATGGGCCATCACATCGCCTTGAGGACATTGTCCTCAGGTGAGCTAAAAATAATCATTTAATTATCTACCTCTAGGATAAGATACAGAATTATAATCTTTATTGTACTATTAACCCTGACCCTGCTGGCCATGACTGTATTTACACAGGCAACCAGTACAGACCAAGATCAAACGGCACATCAATGCCATCTGATCATGGTCTGCACTGCTGGCTATTAAGTTAGTACTTATTTTGAAATTTTACCTAAAACTGAAGAATGGTTTTGTCCAGATTGAAACATGGACAAGTCCATTTAAGATATTTAGTGTGGTAAGGGTTAAAGTTCTGAAGAATGATATATAGATTACCTCTACAACATGAACAAGGTGTTTGAGGTACACAAGAAGAAGACCTGTTATTGGTTCAGCATGCTGGTAGTTATTCTGTAAGTTCTTCAACAGTCTGTCATAATGATCTGAAATATTAAAATTATATTTCATATTACACAGTCTATTAATGGATATAAATTACACACAGTTGACTGTTCCTCTTAAACTTTCACTCTCTCTATTGGATGACATGAGAATAATTATCAATATAGGAATTTTTTGTGTGTTCTTTCTTTACACCTGAAAGGAGCAAAGGGGCATCTGAGGTCACTCACGGTGCCACTACCAGTTCAACATCACATAGGCACACTCTTGCAAAAATTTGCAGACTGGCCTTTTGACATCAGGAAGTCACCATTGCTCCTTAACGTGTGTTCTAGCCAAGTAAAATACTTTGAAAAATATTATCCATAAAAATTCTACCCATTCAACTATAAAATGGTTGAAAATGAATCTGAAATGTTGTTATATCTAACATTTCACTAAATGGTCACTAATGGAAATTTAATTTATTTTTATCTTTCTTTAAAAACAATTACTGGACCTTCACTTTTTTTAGCTAATCTAATGTTACATGGACCCTACATGTAGGTCAGGAGGTCTTATAAAGGAAATCATGTACAGTAGGGTGAACGTTTCGGTTGTCAAAAATAGCGTTTTTCGTGCGTCCGTTTTTCGTGTAACGTGCGTGCGTATAGTCGTGAACGTGCGTTTGGCTGAAATGCGTTCTCACAATGCGTGCATGTTTACAAGGTTTAACGTTTTCGTTTTCGGTGTATCAGTTTTTGGCGTTTATCAGTTGCGTCTGATAGCGGTGCGTTTGTTGATTACCAGAATCGCGTTTAGCGTTGCGTTGCGTTCGGGGCAGCGCTTAGTACCCGTGTTTTAGCGTCTGTTAGCTACTTGAGTTGTAAAAGATTTTTAGATGAGAATAAATATATGTATATTTGTGTGTTTCTTCAATACATGTAGAGTTAGATGTTCCAGGTGTCCGCTGTCAAGAAAGGAACATTACTTTTATTATAAGAAGTATTATTGGATGACAACTATTTACATTAATAGTTTTAAACAGTTTGTTGTGATCCTCGCGGTGAATACTGGTTCAGATTTCTACATGCTTAAAGCCGAAGATCAATTAGTTTTAATCCTATTTTACATACGCATAAGATATAATTACTAATTAATTGCAACATTTTTGATATTCAATTCAGCAAACAGATGTTTATATGCGTACCAATATATATTAGATACGAGGTTCGTCAGACATCAAATGATGTGATCAGACTAGCACCCCACCCCCTTTACAAGTTCATCTTTTGACTTTTCATCAAAGACTGTCCGAATCCTATCGGAATACTATTTAGGGTGATAATTATTTTAGACAGTTCCTTCCTATTTTTCTTGACGGATTTATATTGATATGTAAACAGCCTGGCAGGCACTCGAACCCCTGGCACTCGGAATACGATTCCGCGGCTCTTGAGTTCCTCTGAGCTATTCGGCCGCTTACACGTTTTACTTGTTTAAATACTGAATAGTTATAAACCTACTGTGTATGCAAATATTTCTTCGAATTTCCCAGGCTTACTTAGCATTATAAATTAATTTCTAGCTGGGCTATACAAATGTTTGTCAGTCACAGGGTGAGAAAAAAGTGCATCCTGACATGTACTCGAACCCGTGACCGTCTAAATACTGTACCGCAGCTGTACCGACATTTGTTAATAGTTTCATTATTTGTACATGTATAGTGAACATTTTACTAATTATACATTGTACATTGTACTATTTCTATATTTTTGTACAAATAAAAATAACTAGATATTTTCTTGATAAAAAAATTCTATGGTGGCTAAAATATAGCATGTTGAACTTTTTAGACATGTAATCACAACAGACAGGCTAAGCCACCCTTTACAAAATTCCCCTATCTGTCAGCTCATAATCAAGCCATAGACTACTATTTTTGTATGTGGCCTGGGCTTTTACTGGTCACTTACAAACCGTATAACACTGATAGCGAACAGATGCCCAGGCTGGTCTGGATCCATGCTGGTCGCAAACCCATTATGTTGCTTTTATCGTGACGGGGCTCAAATATATCTTAATCTTATATGAGGTCAATAATATAACCCACTTTGATAAACATATATAGCTTTCTTGATTTTTATTCTGTATATTATCTAAAATCACTTTTTAAGGTTTATCAATCTGTAATCATTACTTAACATAATACCCCTTTGAGATACCCGAGATGAGCCTGTGTCGCCCTTTGCTAACTTAAAAGTATATAACCTTTCCATATATAACCATATAATTCTTTAAAGATTTTTCTCAGCTGAGTAAGATAGGTATGCTGTAGTCCCAAGTCACTTGTTTAACTTCCCTCAAGTAAGTTTATAAACCTAGACATAACTGATAAAATTCTAACTATAATATACTTAAATATCACCTATGTATTTATATAAATTTACATAAACCCATTTTGCATACTAATATATCTTTTGGGACCTGTACAATTTCAATTGATTGTAATTTTAATTTTCCTACAATATCAATTTTATGCTTCATAGGTAGGTCAGTTCATTAAAAAAGGCATAATACAAGATCCCTATGAAAAGTAATGTAATTGATAACTCAATCCAAATCAACTTTATTAATTAAAAGCTTTCATTAGATGACTTTAAAAAGTGGATTTCAATAATTGTCCAGGAAAAATATAAATGTTATAGTAAATTTTATCTGGACCCCAACTATTAAAGAAAGCAGTGCCACATAAAATGTTGATACACCGGGTAATTTTACCTTAAACTTAACCTATTAGGAAATGATACAGAATTTTTTATATAACATAAATCTATTATATTAATAAACAAACATATGTAATTGACTAAAATAAGGTAGTCCTAACAAATTTCATTACAAAATATGAGAATTATGGCAAATCTCCTAAGATGCCTAAATGTCCAAGATAGTGCACTAAATCACAACAAAATATGAAAATTTTACCTAATTAAAAGAGCCTTGGAAATTAAACAAAGCTACAAGAGGAACATTAATCTATCATATTAATTAACAAACATATCTAATTGACTAAAGTAAGGAAGTCCAACCAAATTTCATTACAAAATATAAGAGTTATTGCAAATTTCCTAAGATACCTTACTGTCTTAAGATAGAACACCAATTCACTACAAAATGGGGATTTTTACCTTATTATATCAGCCTAGGAAATGAAACAGAATTATAAGTGCAACATAAATCTATTATATTAATTAACAAGCATATCTAATTGATTAAAATAAGAATATCTCAATAAATTACATTGAATATTCAAAAAAATATGGCTTATTTCCTATGATGTATAACTATACAAGCTAACACACTAATTCATTAAAAATGGGAGTAATATTACCTGATTATAACTCATGGTAAATGAATCAAAGTTATATAAGCAACATAGTATTATTATATTAAGTTAAACCTACATCAAATTGACTTATATAAGAAAATCCCAACAAATTTCATTGCAAATTAAGAAATAATGGCTAATTTTCTATAATGCCTTATTAATAACTTTACCACACTAAAGCATTGAAAATTTGGGTAAGTTTACTTTGTTATAACCTTTTGGTCACTGAAACAAGTAAGTAAAGCCAAATAATGTTATTACTATCAAGTAACTACTACATCTAATTGACTAAAATAAGAAAACCCCATTGAATTATATTGACAATGACGAGAGATAAGGTAAATTTTCTATGATGCCTATTTGTTCAAGCAAATACATTACATATTTAAAAATGGGGGTAATTTTCCCTTATTATAACCTCCTAGGAAATGAAACCAAGTTAGTAAGGCAACATATCACTATAATATTGAGTAACAATTACATCTGTTTGATTGATATTGAAAAAATCCACCAAATTTCATTGAAAAATAAAAAAAAAGGTATGGCAAATGTCCTATAATGCAGACAGAGGTGTTCAGATCCACTATCAGTAAGGAAGTGTTCCCTTCCCTGTCAGGGGACCATTACTGGCATGGTATATGGAATCACAAAAAAGATACTGTAAAACTGATTTTTTCATTTTTACAGCTCTGAACTATTCACTAATGAGGGGACATAAGATAAGTTAGTTAACATAAACCCGTTTAAAATACATGAATGGCTAGCTATCATTTAACCCTTTCCCTGCCAGAGGGTTATTGTTTTATTGTTCACCTATTTGCCAGAGGATTTTCTAAGAAATTACTATATTATTAATTAATATAATTATTATTATAATTTATTTGTTATTAGTATTATAATAATTATATATGTTTCCAAATCTGTTAGTATAATAATAATTATTGTCGATGGTATAATTTTCTTTATATTTATTATTATTTTTATTATCATTATTATTAATTTATTATTATAACTATTATTTTTTATAGAAATGGCTAAAGCCGTCCATATGGCAAATACGCCGAAAATAACAGGGACGGCTTAAGCCGTCCCTATGGCAGTGAAAGGGTTAATCAAATCACTAAACGATCTAGCTTAGAAGTTGTTAAAAATTTATATGATAAGGATATTTTATTAACGTTTAGAAACGATTTCTTCTATTTTGCATGCGTTTTAGCGTGCGTATATCGTGTAGCGTATTTCGTTTTGCACGCGTTTGCGTATTTCGTTTCATAAAGGGTGCGTGTAACGTGTGTTCGTATAGCATGTAACGTGCATGCGTTTTTTTCCGCAACGTGCGTTTTGCGTGTAAAACTGAATCGTTCACCCTACTGTATCACATACACAAAATAAAGACCGTTTAAAGTGAAATAAGAGTAGTTTTTCACTTATACGCCTATAGTATAACGCTACCATTTAGCCATCTTTACATAATGTTTTTTATAACGCTAATGAGGTCATGTAAATTATATGCATGGATGTGCAAATACCATATTAACTGAGTGGCAAAATCGGCACTGGTGTGTGATAAAGCATATTAATACGGGGAAGTCAAAAACCGCGGGTCCGGCTTTGACTTGCCCGGCTATAGACTACATGTGTATATTTAAAAGAAAATCAAATAAAAAACAATTAAAAAATATATAGAATTCTATACCTATCAATGAAATTTTCAGTGTCAGTTCTAGTCGGGGGCCACCATTTACAATGTAACTCAATGATAAAAGGCGGGGTATTCCGATAACGGAATAAATCTCAACTTTTCGGATAAATAATAAACGTCAAGTGTGTTCCGAGTGAAAAGGGAGGCGGTGCATGTAATACCGAATGACAATTTTAAAACGGAAAGAAAGAAAGGAATTTTTTAACGACTTCCCCGTTCATAGGCTCTGCCTAATTTCATATTACATATTAAGCGCAGATCAATAAGTTTCAATTTTAAGTGATATGAAAAATATTTTCTGTTGTGCTGTCTTTGTAAATCCAATAATTTCGTTCGTATAGCGTGTAACGTGCGTTTTGCGTGTAAACTGACACGTTCACCCTACTGTACACAAGAATTGACAGTTTCTTCCTGACTTTTTTAAATGCAAATACTGGTAAAGAAACCAGGAACATTTGTTAGACAACTAACAATCAGTATATAACAATGATTATTAAAAAAAGTACATTTTTATTGCCTACCAGGGTTTGACTTAAATATAAATTTTCACCCAGTTTAAGTTAACAAAAAGAAAAAACAACAAAATCACTATACTCACTTCCAACTTCAATTCTGTCATCAACATTCTCTCTTAATTTTCCAACATATACTATTCTGTGAACCAGATTTTTCTGAAATTATAAATATATCTTAATATTGAAATATAATATTAAAAGTTTTAGCAAATATTCTAACATTAATAAGCTCATAATAATGGAATTGTCTAGATTTAAATAACAGCTGATCCAACTTACTCCCTAGGACAATAAATCATTTTATGCAGTATTTTCTTTTCATGTAATTGGTTAAAAAGTGTGAGGTAACATTAATATACAGTGACATCAGTGAATATCTATTTATAATTACAAACTGCTGTTGCTTTATACTGGAAATGCACTAAATATTTTTCCGATTTTAATTGGTTGTGCTTAACAACAGTAGTGGGACATAACTCATTTTAATCTTTCTATCTTCTTCGACACGCGCAAGTAATTACAGTTCATCAATTTCAGGGTTAAGAAATCTCTTAATGTATCATACTGTATCAATTACTGGAAAATATTTTTTTCTTCAACATAATACATGTATGTTAAGAAAAAGATTAATATACAATCTGAATCAGCTATAACAAGTATAAAATTTTGTTCTTTTGGATATTGAAGCAATCAGTTTATACATGTTAAATAATGCCTTTACAAAAAACATAAAAAAACATGCACATTTGTGACATTAATTGTCAATCAACATTTTGAAAGTTCATGTAGTACTGTGTTTAAAGTCTCTGATTTATACAGTTTTTGGTTAACTATTTTGTGCTCACACAAACTTTGTACATTCATTTGAATGTTGTTATTTAAGTGAAAGCCATATGAAAGACAATGTAAATTAAGGCTTATTATGCTCTGCATTCCTAAAATATGGCAATGCAAATTAAATCTAAATACTCTACCTTCCTAAAAAAAAGATTTTATCATTAATATCATTATTAATATCTCAAAAATATATTTCACACTGCAAATTTTTTCTACCATTTTACTAGAACCTCCACCTTCTGCTGGATCAAAACACGAAAGCTCAAAAAAGCTCTTCTTAGGCCAGTCCCATACTCTTTCCTGGGGTTTCTTGGCTTTCCGGCGCCTTTCTGGGCTTCGAGACCCAGGTCTTTGCTTTTCCTGATCCCCTGCATCATTTTGACTATCATCTTTATTACCTTTATCTTTCTCTAGCTGACTCATTTTTTCTGCCATTGTTTACCTATGTTCCCTTTTTATTTAAAAAAGCTCTGGAACCACCTGACTACTGTTTTTACCCGAACGATTTTAGTTATAAAATCACCCAAACACTGTTTAAAATTTAATCACGGCAAGTCCATTCAAGTTAAATTCAAATGCAAAGAATAAAAACTTCCTAATCTGAATTTTAAAGAATATGGTATATTTGTTCTTTAATAATAATTATCAAATAAGTTGTTTATTCCACACAATATAAATTTCATCCAGCTTTTTTTCCAGATTTTTTTTGACAATGTAGATCTAATAAATATTTATTTTTTTTCTGTGAATTTATGTATGACACATGAATCTTCTAAATCTCTTCACATGACAAAATTTAACAAGTCTGATTTAAAATTGAGAGTTAAAAGATTTGTTTTAACACAGACTTCACAATACACTATTGGTTACTTAAAAACAATCTTATCACTGCAGGTATAACTACCTGTTGACAACATGTGATAAAGTTTCAATAATACTGATAAGCTTTTAATAATGTTTCATTCCATGTTGACAAAAGTTTAATCTAATGTCTTTCAAATCACAATATCTTAAGTAAATATACACCAGCTGAAACAAACATAATGCCGGCAAAATCAACAAAAACCTACAATCTGTACAAATGCTGGATTTTTATTGTAAGCCTTAAATATTCTTCACTTGTGATTTTTTTTTTAACTGTATTAAAACATACCTCAAAATGGTTTATTCCAAGGGATTCATTTCAAGTGTTTTGTGTTAAGCAAATATTAAGAGTATGTTTGTACAATGGGATAAGATACAATAAAACTATAGTGGCGTATTAGAAACAGGCAATTTATTACATACACTTTGGGTGAAAAAATAAATCCCAGAGCTACTTTGTTTGATGAACAAATAGTAGTTTACCAGATAACTGATCTGCTACTTGTGGAAATTGTGAAAATTAAGTAAGATGAGGAACAATTTTTAGAAATTCAAAAAATCAAAATGAAGATGGGGAAAAAACAAATGAATCTACATGGTAAGTAATGTCAATGAAATGATTACTTTTATCATCAACTTACCGTACTAAAAGCATAAATATTTTTGACTATACTTTTTATGAACATTTCATTTAATTTTTATCAACAGTGATATTGTACCTAATGAGGGATAAATAAGATACTGGCATATATAGGATGGTTGCTGATGTCAGGTGAATAGTAATTATCCCTGTAGTCATTTCAACTGAATTGGGAATTGCTCATAATTTATATAATTGCAATGATTTTCATATCAAAATTATTTGAATTGAGATTAAAATTTGAAATTAGAATTCAGTATACATCAGACTGTGTGGATGTGCAGTCTTGCATATACATGTATATATAGCTCTACTGCAGTATACAATTTTGCAACAACCTTTAGAATTGTAACTTGTAATCATTATAGTAAACCATTCACTCTTTTTGGATGACATTTATAATTACAAATCTAAAGAATGAAAAGAAAAGACTTGAGTAAACCTCGGCATAATACTGGTTGGAGAAATAACTTTGACTTTTAAAATCTCAGATTCTTAAACTGCCAGTTTTTTGTTAAATATGTTAATTTATAACCTTCATGCATATTTAAGATTTTGAATCACCTAAAAATAGTTTTTTGTTTTTTGTTTTTTTTTTCAAATATTTTATGATGCGCTACAAAATTATTTATGAAAATGGGAACTTGTACAGTTTTTTAAGGTCCTGAATAAGGTAAACAAAACATGGACTTTTTACCATACAAGAGCGATCAGTAATCACATGTGTCGCCTCATGATGGCCAATTTCATGTTGGGACAAATTTTGTGACAGACGGACAGTGCACAACTAGACTAACCACTTTGTACTGATCATTCCTGTAAAATTTGGATAAAATTGCACCAGTAGTTTAAGAGGAGTAGTCCGGACAAGCTTTTGCGCATCTGGCAACACACAGAAAAAAACACCTTTTTATCAAAGGGCCATAACTCGGCCAAAAATCATTCAACCGGAAAACCCGTGCAATATGCGCAAGGACTTGAGCTACAGATCAATCCTTTAAAGTTTCATTGAAATTGCATAAGTGGTATAAGAGAAGTAGTCTGGACAAACTTTAAAAATAAAAATTATTAAAGGGCCATAACTCAAACAAAAATCATTGAACCGGAAAATGCTGACAAAATGCACAACTAGACTTGATACTGATCATTCCTGTAAAGTTTGGGTGAAATTGCACCAGTAGTTTATGAGGAGTAGTCCGGACAAGCTTTTGTGTATCTGGCAACACATAGAAAAAGAAACCTTTTTATCAAAGGGCCATAACTCGGCCAAAAATCATTCAACCGGAAAACCCGTGCAAGTGCGCAAGGACTTGAGCTACAGATCAATCCTGTAAAGTTTTATTGAAATTGCGTAAGTGGTATAAGAGAAGTAGTCCGGACAAACTTTAAAATTAAAAATTATTAAAGGGCCATAACTCTGACAAAAATCATTGAACCGGAAAATCCTGACAATATGCACAACTAGACTTGATACTGATCATTCCTGTAAAGTTTGGATTAAATTGCACCAGTAACTTTATGAGGAGTAGTCCGGACAAGTTTTGTGACGGACGGACGGACGGACAGACAGACAGACGGACGACGGAGAAGTGATCCCTATATGTCGCCACTACTCTGTAGAGGCGACACAATAAATAACAGTAGATAAAGCAAACATTTCATTGTTGAGTCAAATTACAATTAAACATGTAGCTGGAAAATCAGCATCAATCATTTATTTTAATATTTCAAAAGTTTTTACTATTTTTTGTTGATATTTTTTTTACCATTTTTCAAGACACCTTCCCATTTAGTCAAGGCCTGTATTCAAGACAATGGTAACCGTAAAAAGAATGATTTGAGGCAGTTTTTCTTGTACACAAAAAGTTGTGGTTAACATAAACGCATTAAGTAGATAAATCAAATCTCTTTTCCTGGTGTCTTGCATGCCTACACAATTTAATCTGTACCATGTCTTGTGATGTAACAAGCACCTGTTACTTCTAATCCCTTTACCTTTCTTGTGAGCCTGCATATTCCAACTTGAGATAACATAGTCAAACTAATTAGACTTGTCAAAGCGACTTGGAAATATTTTTTGGATGGGCAATGTCTTTTCCCAAATCTAACCATCAACTGTATTTTTCTACATGGACACTGCCTAGTTAGACATTGTTGGTAGCGTTAATTAGCAATATAAGGAAGAAATGTCCCACTTCACTTGATACATGTACATGTAGATACAAAAACATGTATGTATCTTTTTTTTAAAAATATTTTCCAAATATTAAAATTTTTCATTTTTTGATTACATCTAATATGATTCATAATCTCACTTAATTACTCTCTCAATACAAGTTTGCTATTCAGCCAAAAATTCAAATTGTTTACAACAATTTTTTTTATCCTGAACAGTTAACTAAATACTATGATAAATAATGTTAGAGAAATTTCTGTATATATTGACCATTTATTGGAAAAGAACTTCGGCTAAGTTTATTTACTAGTGCAAATGTATGACAACATATTTAGTATAATTTACTCATTAGAAACTTTTAATATTTTTGCTTTTAAAAAAAAACAACAAAAAAAACCCATGCTGCTTTACTGGTCGGAGACCATCAACCGGACACTTTTGGAACATTTTTCCATACAGATTTCATAATTTTTAACCCTAAGAGACCAAACAATTTGACACAGTTCAGCTAGGTTCTTCTCCTAACTAATAAACTAGTTTGTTTATTTCTGATTGTATTGACACTTATATCTGAGGCTCGACAAGGAGGGTCTCAAAATTACCTAAATTGTCTACACTACAGTACCATGTGTCCGGACAGATATGTACATGATGTGATTTAATTAAGATAAAAGCCTGGGTGTTTTGATTTTTTATTTGTAACATGATATACAATATGTCAGCAACAAATGCTGAAGTTTTGGATATTCTATTATTCACTCTGCAAATGATTATAGCTGGTATATGAGGTCAGGCATTGCTTTCTTGACCCCCGAATTTCAATGTTAACATTCTTGAAATAGACATTAAAATATTACCATTTACGGAGGTTGAAATAAATTCATTTACTTAATTTTAAAAGAAACATGCACTTATTGTTGATAACAAGAATTTGTAACAGAGTTACCAACGTCCCCCGCCCCGGGAGTTTTATATGAAGCATAAAATTGTGCTATTTCAAAAGATTGAGGTATGGATCTCAGGACATTCAGTCCAAAATTATGATCAATGCTAGATCTGCAAATGTTACAATAAATTTGTTAAAAAAATAAAATGAAACACGGAATTTAAAAATCTATCATGTTAAGCTTTGACCTCTAAGTGTGAACTTGACCTTGGAGGTAGGGGAGCAGGTGTTGTGCATGACCAGAGCTGCATTACTGGTACTGGTACTGGTACTGCAGTATGTACTGCAGCGATTTTGCAAGTACTGGTACTGATACTGAATTACTCTTACAAAATTTTGCTACTACTGGTACTGGTACTGCATTACTGTCTTAAAAAGTGGTACTGCTACTGCATTACCCAGTACTTTTGGTTTTGATAAAAATAAAAAATTACATCAATTTTTCTCATAAAATAAAGCTGTAAATTACATAAACTATATTTTATTTTTGTGAAAAAGTAAGTTATCAAATCTAAAGATAATTTGCTGCAATATTCCTTCAAATGTTAACATAGTATTCATCATAAAAAGCACCAAAGACTTTAAGTAAAAATTAAATTAAGATAAACAGACTCAATAACTCTTTCCCCAAAAATATCCTTATTAAAATATTTTATTATATTGTATTTATTAGTAAAAGAGCAAAATAAACACTAATTAATTTCTTCTATTCTAAAAAATCCCATTTCAAGTGATATTGTTAGCACCATAAAAAGTTGTTATTTACTTTGGTATAAATTGAACAGAGGTGTGAAGGTGTGAAAGGCAACAAAAGACTGTTGTGTTTTAAATGAAAGATGTTTGTATTGTATTTATACAGTTGACTGGTTACTAAACAGTTAGATATGACCTGAATATATGTTGTAAATATTGTTTGTAAAAAGTATGTTAAAACTATAAAGCTGTAAATACATTGTATGTTATGTTAACTTTAAAGCAGCACGCCTCCAGATTCATCCTAATTTTCATGAAAATTTTGAAAATGTATTTAAAGGTAAAATATTGTTAAATGAACAAAGAATGTACTTGACACGTTACAATTGGCACTTAAAATCCCCGTAAATTACCAAAAAGAGGTCAAAACATGCATAAATAGCGTTAGTAACGCAGTAGAAATATGGTGATAATACTACAAAATACAGTCATTAATTGCACATAAGATATAAATTATCACTTGAATCTTTAATTTGTTTACTTTTCTCAATTTTTTTCCAAGTTTAATTTTCTTGAAATATTTTGGGTCATCTGGAGGCATGCAGCTTTAAGTAAATTATGATTTTATTTCTTTGCTGAATAATATTTGCAATTATTTGTTTGACACTGTATTTATTCAAACTTTGATGAATATATAAAAGTAATGGTACTGATACTTAATTACTTCACCAAAAAAAGTACTGGTACTGCAGTACCAAGCTAAAATCTAGTACTGGTACTGGTAATGGTACTGCATAATTTGCCAAGTACTGGTACTGGTACTTAAGTACTACACCCTTAGTACTGATGCAGCTCTGTGCATGACATAACGTCTTATTATTGTGACTATTTGTGCCAAGTATTTTCACAATCCTTTGATCTATGAAAAAATTATAGACCTGACACAAAATATACCCTGTAACAGACTATGTAAGTATTTGACCTCCAAGTGTGACCTTGACCTTGGAGGTAGGTGACCGGTTTTTGCGCATGACACATCATCTGATTATTGTTAACAATTATGGCAAGTATTTACAAAAGTCCTTCATAGATAAGAAAGTTATGGACTGGACACGACATATACCCTCAAATAGACAATGTTGA